GTTTAGGAGGAGGTATACATACAGGCAATGGTGACAACTTCGGGTAGGAAGGAAGAAGAAGAAAAAAAAAATGGTGGAGAATGAAATAAGAAGGTCAGCATCGCCTTGTTGTGTGACATCGATTTGCTTAGCTTCTGTTGTTCTGACTGGTGATGTCTACCTTTCCTTTCCTAATTTGCACAGATTCATCTTATCTTTAACCCCACTCTTTCTTGACATGCCGTGACATATCAAACCCTCTTCTTCATACTAATCATATACTCCACTTTATTTAATGCACACACATTAATTCTACACACACACACGCACGCGCACGCGCACAAACACACCCACTCTCTCTCTCTATATATATAAATTTATATATATACACACACACACGTATGTATATATTAATATATATATATATATGTACTATATGTAATTATGTACTATATGTATATGTAAATGGAAGTAGCATTTACTAGTAGTACATGTTTATGTGCATTTATATAATGACCTGCTGCTCGCTCATTCTATCTGAGCCTAAGGTAATATAATAAGCCTAAGCCCTCCACATCCTAATTTCCATCGCTTTTTCTCCCCCTCTTTTTCTTGCAAACAAGAAATGGTGGTGGCAGCTCCAACTCCAGATGGTAATGAGAAAACAAGAGCCACCGAGCTCCCTGTCATTGACCTTTCGGACAGGAGGTCCGAGGTCTCGAAGCTGATGGTGAAAGCGTGCGAAGATTTCGGGTTTTTCAAGCTCATCAACCACGGAGTTGCTGATGATATCATTGCCAAAATGGAAGAACAAAGTTACCAGTTTTTCGCAAAGCCCTCCTCCGAGAAAGAACTGGCAGGCCCTTCTAAGCCCTATGGCTACGGCTGCAGGAACATTGGCTGCAATGGAGACGTTGGAGAGGTTGAATATCTCATTCTTGATGGCAACCCTGCCTCCATTGCTCGCTCCTCCGAAACCATTTCCGCCGACGCTATCGAGTTCAGGTAACAGCAACAACCTCCTGCACTAAAATCTTCCTGCTACATACATTTGCATGTGTTTTCTTTTTACACCATGCCAGCAACTCCGTCCCTCTGTGTTTCTTGGTTTTGTTAACTATAAATAGCAAGGAGCTAGCGCGCGGCGTTGACAGTTGAGTTGAAGGATCATCCATATAGACAACGTAAGCGAGCACTAGGCACGTTTAATTAATTATTATGGCAAATTCGAGAGCTTGGCTCCTCCCTGATTTATCCTGCAGGTTGAGATTTTGAACTTTAGTTGGAGATGACATAAATGTGGAAGATAGATGCCTTCTTTAGCGATCGATTGAATGTCACTAGAGCGTCTCATCTCAGCAGTAGTAGTACTGTAGTAGTAGTAGTAGTATGATTTATTTTAAGGGTTCCATTCCATCTACTTTGCGAGCTATGAATATTCAATCATTCTATGGATTGGTGATTCTACTCAGATTTCTTTTTTGGAAGATTACATATTATTACTTTGGTAGAGAGAAAGGAGCGAGCTATGAAAGCAAAATAAAAATGTCACGCCTTCTTCAATAGCAGTAGTACTGTATATATATATTTAAAAAAAAAAAAAAAAAAAAAACAGAACCAATCTTGGTTGTCCATGCATCTTTAATTAATTAATTAGGTCGTCGAGGCTATTGATTGATTATGCCAACTTGCATATGTATATGTTTCAGACTTTGCTCTTCTTGGCTATGATTCGTTATAACTAACCCTTTTTGTTTATGGCTCACACATACGTAACAACGTACATATAAACAGATATTTGTGAAATTAAATGATTTAGAGATTTGTGAAGGGGACTTGGTACTAAGATAACATGTGATTTTAATTAAGAAAATTAGGAGGAGATGTTTTGTACTTAGAACTAATCAAGTCAAGAAAGAGAGAGAGGCCATTAATTAAAAGCTCAACAAAAAATCCACTCACTCGCCTTGCTTGCTGATTAAACGTTAAAAGCTATCGCTGATCGAGATGCTGATTGGAGACGATGAATATAATATGGAGTACACTAAAAAAGAAAAAAAAAAAAATCTAGGGACACATTTCCATTTCTTCTACTACTGCCTACTGGTATGTTAAATCTAAGTACTATACTTACTACTACTTACTTCTAGGCTATGGCTGGCGCCTGGCTATTAGTAGTAGTCATTATTATAATTATAATTACACAAAACACGATGAGTCTTTCTTTTGACTTACCATCCTTCTTGTCACATTAAGTCGGCCGGCCAGCCCATAAATTGGTTGGATTAAGAGAAACTCTCTCTGTCTCTCACTCCTTCACACATTTAATTTAATTCGAAAAAAACACGCTTTCCTATTTTATTTACTACAACTACTACTACTATTTATATAATATATCAGAGGTTTTTTTTTGTTGGGTATCTGATCGAAAGTCGACGTGTTGTTTCATAAAATATAAATCAGTAGTACTGGACTAATAATTAATTATTTTTCCTTTTTTTATGTCTCCAAATCCTTCTTTGCCAAAAATGAATAAAGAAGAGAAGTTATGCCACGAAATGGAGTGCATAATTCACCGTACCGGAGATGTTTTTAATTTTGTGAGACTAGCTGAATTTCCCTACATGCATTATATTAATATGTAGGGAAATAAGAAATGTAGCTTGGTCTGCTTTTGAAAGTACAAGACGTACGTACTTTCAATTTCAAACCATATCATATCATTTAATCAAAAATATATATATATAAAAATTGCAGGAACGTTCAATTGAAATACAGTAGTAGTAGTACTACTAGAATCAACTGACAAGTCAAAACGATCATCATTGTGGCGAACAAGGTCCAATCAAATCAAAAAAAAATAAAAAAAAAAATAAAAAGAAAGAAACTGGAAAGCTCCCAGATGGATACGGTCATTTTCTTCCCAGTGGCCAGTTTAGCAGTTAAACTCAGAAGAAAAGTGGCAGGGCGAACTGACTGCAAAAGCAAAAAATGCTCTCAGATGAGACCATTCTTTCCATTAATTCCAATAGCCATAGCCTTATTATTATTAGCTGTGATGGGCCATTTTCTGTATTTGTGCCGCGGGGGACTGATGAATGAGTAGTGATGAGTAATGAGGTGAGGTGAAACGGTGGCAGGTGCGCAGTGAGGAGTTATGTAGAAGCAGTTAGGGCGTTGGCATGCGAGATATTGGAGGTGATGGCAGAAGGGTTGGGGGTCCCACACACCTCAGTCTTCAGCGCCCTCGTCAGAGACGTCGACGCTGACTCCCTCCTCAGGCTCAATCACTATCCCCCCGTTCCCCATTGGGACACGTCACCTTCCGACCCTCGCCATCAAAACCCTCGGATCGGCTTTGGCGAGCACACTGACCCTCAGATCTTGACCCTCCTCAGATCCAACGACGTCCGTGGCCTCCAAATCTCACTCCACGACGGGGTTTGGGTCCCGGTCGATCCCCACCCCCAAGCCTTCTTCGTCAATGTTGGTGACGTGTTACAGGTCCTCCTCCTCCTCACTCCTTTTTTTTTTTTTTTTTTTTTACTGCTAATTTTTTTTTTGGTTGTTTTTTGTTTAAATAAGTACTTACTGCTGCTGCTGCTGGTGATAGTACCACTAATATATAGACTGACTACTAATACTGAGGATACTAAATGGTAATCATAATTCATAGCCGTATATTATATATGGTCTGGCAAATGACATGAATTGACTGATTGCTGCAAAAACTGAAACTGAAACTACTGAAACTGAACTGGAGGAGTGGGGAGTTTTCCTTTCCTTTGATGGAGATATCTGATCTGATGCAACAATAATGGAATAGATTTCAGAGCGCAGTTGGATTGACGGATGCCCCAATTCTGATAACAATTCATTCCCTCTCTCTCCCCCTGCTCCCGCTTAGACCACAGGCTACAGACTTTTTCGATTCCCTCTTTTTTCTGTTTGTGTTCCGGGAGCAACATAGTAGTAGGTATCTATTAACGCTACCTAGACACCACAGTTTTAGTAACAATAATAATTTATTATGAGACAGAGTAAAGATTAATTTATTATGGAGTACTCTAAAACCACAGTTGACTCCACATTCCTATGATACATACGCTTTGAGTAACTTCTGATCTGATCTTTATGGTGTCGTCGACAATCTCTCTCTCTCTCTCTCAATAAGAAAAAAGAAAAAAAATCTCTAGTGTCTAACTTTGTGCAACTCTCCGCTGCTGATGTGATGCTGAAGGCCATGACAAACGGGAGGTTCTTGAGCGTGAAACACCGAGCCACGGTGAGCTGGTACCGGTCCAGAATGTCAATGGCCTACTTCGCCTCCCCACCACTCCGTGCAAGGATCGGCCCAATCCCCGAAATGGTGACGCCACACAATCCGCCCCTTTACAGATCATTTACGTGGGACGAATACAAGAAAGCTACCTATTCTCGACGCCTCGGAGATGGCCGTCTCAATATGTTCAGGTTCCAACCAAACGATGAGCTCGGAAAGTGATTTGGCCTATATTATATGCTTCTCGACCCCCCCCGCCCCAACAACAAAACAATAATGATTTTGTACCCTCGGAGAGGAGTTCTCAAGCTTCAATCCTTTCTTTCCACAGGTTTTGCCAACTATGTAGTATGTTAGGTGTGGGATGTGTGCCTTTCTAAATGGACACATGACATTCGATCTCCTGATCAGTGGTTCTGTTGTAGGCCTCATTTCATTGTCAATTAACAAGGTCATCACGCTGCTGCCACTTTTGCACTGTTCCAGGCTTTATTCCCATTAGTTGTTGATACCCTCACAACCACTGCTAGGTAGGTCAAATTAGGCCGCATCCCCGCCGGGAAAAACAAGACTTGGCTTGTGCCCACAAGCCTTTTGGGACTCTTTTCGAATCTTCTCCTAGACGACTCTTTATCATGTCAATATCATCTCAATTTCGTCAAATTAGACGGGTATATGAGCAGGAATTCATGAATGCGGTTAGCAAGTAAGAAAATATCATTGCTGAGGTTGACAAAGATGAAATAAAAACTAACACTGCTTGCATAAAATGATGGTCTCTACGTCGATAGAATACAATTGCGTTTGTTCATTCCCAGAATCTTATGACATGTCAAAAAGCAGCAGCTTCTGTTATGTGTGTCAAATGGAATACACAACAATAATTATTGTCAGCACGGTTAAAATTTAGCAGCATTATTTATTTAGAAGTAGTTTATAATTAAAGCGCCAGCCAGGCAAGGTGATTGTCGCAGGGTTGTTCTCAAATTTCCACTCGAAGAAGCATCTCAGTAGTGTCTACTTTATTTGTGGTAGCAGCGGCTCAGACACACTAGGTGATCTACTCGCAACACGTGCACACTTTGTTCGCCGCCCATTTTTGTTCAGCCCGCATACACAGTTCTCCAGAATCTCATAATCTTCATTCCAAAACAACATTGAAGCCATCTCTGGATTTTCCAGTAGCATTTTAGAGGTAAGGTATCCAGCAATTGTCCACGTCTGATAAAGTCGAGACTGTTTTCCTATAAACCTTCCATGTCTGGTATCATAATATTCGGGCCACTGATCCACTAGAAGCCTTTTCTCAGCCGAAGCCAATGCTCTGCTTGCTAATTCTGGTTTGCCCATCTTCATGCAAGCCAGCGTGAACTGAAACATCATGAGACAGCCATGTGAGAGAGAGAATTAGAGGGTGGAAGAACTACAATGCAAGTATCCCGCTCTCGCACGAGTAAATGCATGATATCTGACTGCCATTTTTTCTCGCACACAGTTTAAATTACTGCACTTGAGTGAAAAATAAAACTTCTCAAAAATGTTCTCCTTAACATCTCTCCTCTTGTAGTTACTGAGCTGAAAATCTTATAAACAGACAATCCTCACACATTTAGAAGAAGCTTACCTGCCACAGCAGTGTTGGCCACGACCCAGCATTATGATAAGACCATGGCCTACATGCAAATTAGATTTTGACAATTAGATGAAGTCATATTAGAGCATGAATGCACGAAGTAGGATTTCACGGTGAGCCAACCCTACGATATCGAGTGCATAGAAGCAAAAGAAATAAAAAAGACAGATGCTCACGTATTTTTAGGGTCACTGCCTGTGATAACGCGCCATTCTTCGCACTCCAAAGCCGGATAACATATCTTAAGAGGCATGTCTGACACAAGGTCATCCCATTTGTCTTCAATCAAACTGAGTACACCTTCATTTTGCGTAGGCGTTCCCAGCGATGATATAATAGCCCAAAGATTTCCAAGCGTGAAAAATCTAAAATCCATATGAGCAGGTTGTAGATTGCCAATAAAGTATCCGCCATTCTCAGGTATCCAATCCACAAGCCAAGATGGAATCTGCTCTGGATATATATTAAATTTGTTGATCGCCTCGGTTGAGTATTCTTCTGTCTTGTATCGATATATTTCGTTGATCTTTTTCATGTCCACCCAATAATACTCCCTTATGTGAAAAGAAAGTGCACTGAGACGGTTATTGATGGCTGCAACTAGCTTCTTTGTTGAATCATTGACAGTAAGCATCTCACGGGAACAGCGTAGAGCTGAATAAAATAAAGACTGAGAAGGCACCAAGTTAACACAAAATCAAATTCCCATAATGGAAAAAGAATTTTAAAACAGTAGCGGAAGAAGAGCAATTATGCGTGTTCTTCGTGAAGACCTATGCAGGAGGTAGCGAAAGGAAGATTGGTGAATATACTGGACTAGAACACCTACCTAGCTATCTAGATGGACAAAGACTGCGCTACTTGCCTATGGTCAGACAAATGACTGCACATCCTTAGACAACTCTACTCCAATTCTAGAGTTCATCAAGCAACTGGATGTGAATCAGCTAAAATTGTTGAGGTTTTGAAATGCAAAATTTCTTCATACAACAGCTGGATATGAAATCAGCTAAAATTGTTGAGTTTTGAAATGCATATAATAGGTCAATAAGACTCATGAAAAGGGAAAGAAAGACTTCAATTGAGGTCAAGAGCATACACAAGTACCGCTGTAAGTTACCCTACCAACTGAATAGATGAAAGTGGCTCGCATTAAATAGCAACGGAAAAGCAAAAGGATGAAGCAACCTCTCAGGCATTGAAAAACTTTTACGGTAAAAGCAATCAGAATTTCTATTACTATTGACTCTTTTAGTCCTATGGAACCGAAAAGTTACAAGAAGGTTAAAATAAAAATGGAAACTGAGAGTATACATGCAATGAGAATTTAAGTGATGAGGAAGATTTCGCATTCAATTTTTTGCAAGGACTTAAAATAGCCATGTCAAAAGCCAACTTTTCCAATAATTCACCACATATGGCATAAGTAAGAAAATCAAATTAAGATGACTTCCTTTGGTTCCATTTATGTCACATTAAATAGGCCTTACATGCAAAATAATTAACAGTAGGTACACTAACTAAACAATCACTTACTTGGATTTCGAGAGGATGGCCATGAATACCCATCCTTCTGTCAATCATGCAGGACCCATCAGTGACTAAGAGAGTAGGAAACATATCAAAACCGTCAGTCAAACACAAATTGAGTATCCATCTGATGCCTGTCTGCACATCAACCCTCTCTTGCAGAGAATAATCCCCTGTGATCTTTCCATAAGCTCTCAACAGAATTATCCACCACAAACCTGTCACATTTTGGAAATACCATTATTATTAGCCAAACATACCCCCTCACCCAACACACGAAAAATTCACATGCCTTTGAATATTCGAATGAATTGGGAAGGGCATCAAGGATGTTGACTCAGATAATAGGCAGACCTTTAAAACATGCATACAAACAAAAGATATGCAGATGTAGAATTTGTAGAAATACCCATCTAAATTCTGAGTTCAACATTTCACAGACTTCAAATGGAACCATTTCAGTTGACATGTGACATCATGCTCCAAGATCAAATTACACTAGCCTCAAGCATTGATGAATGTGGTTCAGGAAGAACTAAAAGTAAAATGAAATTTGAGTTTGGTTTCCTTAAACGAATGTTCAGATTACTGAACAGAAGAAACACAACAATTGACAATGAGCAGGTGTGAAACTGGAGAGAAATTCATGATGCAGCAGTGAATAAAACAACAGTTGAGTCGATATACATCTTGAAGAACTTTTGATGGATCAATTTCATAGCAACTGCAACCTTACCAGAATCAACAGGTGCAACACGTCCAATAGCAGATTCACCAAAATCAGGATCCAAAACATCCTCAAATTCTCCATTTCTTCCTTCAAGAGGCACAGCCTTAACTTTAAAACTGGCAGGCATCAACCCCTGTCCAGGGCTGTGGCAGTCCACAGTCTTTTCCCAACTCTAAAAAGTAAGCAGTGCATAACTTTAGTTGTATCCATGCAAATGTACTAAAAAATAAGCTGTCATGCATAGAAACTTACTAACAAAACAAGGAAAAAGCTTAACTAATCTAATTTGTAACAGCAAGGCAAATAGAGCTCAATAACTCATTAGCTATTGAACAAAGGAAGGGAAAAAAGAAAAAAATGGGTATGTCAGGGGAGGATTAAAGGTAAGACCAAAGTAAAGGTCCTCCATAAGGATCCAACCCTATCTTTTTACCGATATATAAGAAAGTTGTTTCAGGACATATAAGAAAAAAAATGCACCAAAGGAAATTGTTTGGACATATAAGAAAAAAAAATGCAACAAAGGAAAGTGTTAATCCAATTTGAGGGCGGGCTCTCTACTAATAAATGACCTCAAATGCTTGAAGACTAGTAACAGCCCCAGAAGAATTATCATGAAACTTAAACATTTGAGATGACAAAGAAAAATATTGCAGCATGCAATAGTTTACACCATAAGAAACCTAACAATAAGAGTTTACAGTTTACAACATAAGAAACCTATTTATGTATAAAACTTCATGCTCACCTTAACATAAACAGTGAAATTGACTTTTTTTTGGGGCCACCCGGGGGGGGGGGGTGTGAGTTTGTGTGTGTGTGTGTGTGTGTGTGTGTGTTAGACAGAGACAGGTTTACATATCACATTACCTGTAGTTGTAGGGTATGAAGCAGAAAGTTCTTGACAATTTCTCCTTCACCATTAAGCAAGAAAGCAAGAGCTGAAGGGACAAAATCACGAATGAAGACTTGATCATAGTTCAAAGGCAGCTTATCAGCAGGATCAGCAGCAGCAACAGTCCCCACAGGGAGTCCACAATAATTTACAACAGCCCCTCGAAGCAATTTCCAAGCCTCTTTTTCTACCTCAGACACCTCTCTCTTCAGGGTCGATCTAAAAACCATTGACCCATCCGAGCGCTGGTTGAGATTATCTATATTTACACCTAAACTATCATTTACCTCTACCCTAGCTTCATTATCTTTATCTTTTTCTACATTTTCCAGTACCTTGTGAGCCTCTTCAATTGTCTCAATCAACAAGGGCTTCACATGTAAATCTCCTCTAACATAAATTTTCTCAAAGCTGTTTTGATTAACTTGAGATTCAATGGACGTCGAATGGTTCCTGACATCCGACGCAACATTTACTTTATTTGAAACAAGTCTATCATTACTCGTATGAAGTGGACAGCCAGAAAAAAACCTAGATTGTCCAGAATCCGAACCAGATAAACAAAAAGCTCTCCAGTTCGGAGTATTTGTTCTAGTAAAACCTACAACCCTATTGCTAGAATCAGGTAAATCATTCAAATTCGGTTGTAATTTCGACAAATTGTCAGTAATCAAATAATTAGAGTTGAGAAATGGGAATCCGAAAAGGGATGAATTCTTGCAGCTAACTAAGATTCTACGACAGGGTTTCATAGTGGAAAGTCCAATACAGCTGCTGGTATTCATTTCTTGAATTCGGAACAAAACTACGCAGCGAGCTGCAGGAGGGTCTGTAGTAATATAACCCAAAGCTTTATAAAAGTCTTAAGCTTTGTGTAAATATTATAGGTCGAGTGTCTATGTACAATAGCTCTATGATATCTAGAAAAGTCAAATCTTTAACAACAGATAATACTAATGATTTATCTAAAACGAGCTAGGATATAAATATACAAAGTTGTTCTTTTTTATAACGAAATAAAAATGTAAATGAAAAACTGAAATGAAAGGGAACTTACAGTTGGAAGGAGCTGAAGAGAGAGCGTGTCTGAAGATAGAACAGAGGTAGTTACATGTGGGAAGCCAAAGGTGGAAGTTGAGAGGGGTTTATATAGAGATGCTGGCAGTTGCGGGCCGGAAACTTCCTTGAATCAACAAAAGCAGCAGGTAAAAACAATTTTTTTTTTTTTTTAAAAAAAAATTTTTTTTTTTGCGCCCTTTGCAAAAAAAGGGTGCGCTAGTATTTTTGTGTTTCCAGTAATGAACCTTGCGCGTGACACTTGAGTTTCACAAAATTTATCTCACAAGACAAGAAGGAAAAAAAAAATGGGGGACGGAAGACAAATAGTTTCTTGTAATTTTGCGTCTTTTGTTCTTATTTGTTAGGTGGGGACAGGCAGCAATATAATAATTGTACCATGTTTTTCAGAGGCCCTTAACTTTATTAGATCTAAAGGTACGTTTGGCAAAGAGGAATTTATCCTTTCCAGTAAATACTCCACTATGGCATGCAAAGTAAAAAAGGAAACGTGATAAAATAAGGAGAACTGATATATAATATGAGTAATATCATAAAAAAAATTAGTACATGTTAAACTCGTTTATCTGTCGTGTAATATATTCATGTAGTAATGTTACTGTTAATTATTCTTTTTTTTTTGTACGCGTCAATTGGAATAAAAAAATTGTACGCGTCAATTCATAAAAATTTGAAAGAGTATAGATGTTACAATTTCATTCCAAGTCAAAATGTTAGATAATTTGCAACATACAAAAAAAAGTTCATTTATAAGTGTATGAAAGGATCATTCTCACCCACAATGCATATATACAGAATATATGAAAGGTGAAAACTTCATGCTTTTTTTTTTTTTTTTTTTTTTTTTGTCGAAACGATAGAATTCATACTTCTAGTTACATCTTGCATATTCTTATCTTTCATCCCTTTTTCAGTTTTTCCTGCGTCTTCTCAACATGTGTAATTCAAATACGTACGTACGCGTTTTTGGTTAGGGGCTTCCTCTTTGAATTGTCGTAAAAAAAGAATAGACGAGGGGGTGAGCAAGAGTTTATCTTTTGCTTTTCTTCCCCCAGAGAGGATAGGACTGATGAGCAAGCAGTACTACAAATTTGGACCACCTGCGGTGTCGGCTATAGGAACCTCAATAGCAAAATGTGCGCAAAGCCGTTGTCGAAACGCTTCGCTCACGCTTTAACCATTTCTCATGTGTCACCGGTCGTATGTTTTTGTCTGGATGTATTGAAAGATGACCGGATTGCCAAAGCTCTATCAGATTTTCCACTCATAAATAAATAATCAATGTATGATGCGTCGTGAATTTTCCACTCCACTCATAAAAACAAAACACATTTTGTGTGTGTGATACATGCATATTTTTAGAAGAGATTTTGGACAATTGAAATATCTTAAAATGTTGTTGTGCTATTTAAGAATCAATTTGGATGGACAGAAATGAGTTGGGTGATTTGAAAAAAAGATATATAAATCCTTTCACTCATATTAAATTAAAAAAAAAAAAGGACTTAGAAAAGTCTACCTGAAAAAAGTGACAGCTAGCTAGCGTATGCATCCATCGGGGTTGTTGGACAAGCACATTATCATGGCAGCCCCTTAACAAATTATGGGCCTAGAGAACTGGGTTCCTTTAAAAATAGTTTAGGCAAACGGGCCAACTGATTGATGGTGGGGAAATCACTATCAGAGTTGACTACTAGTATAAGATTTTTGATCGGACTCCAGCTTAAGCGGCTGGGAGAGAGTTCTGAAGTGGGTTGAATGCTTGAATCCATCGGAGTGGCGGCCTAGCACCCGTGAAATCTGCAAAATGAAACCCAGCAGCCCATTATCATTTTCTCCTTTGGGTCGCCAGTCGAACGTGCGTAAACAGGGACTATATATCTTTGTTTATGGGCTTAGAGCGGAGGTCTTCCTTTGCATGTTAGGAAAAATGAAAGAAGTCAAAGCAACAGCAAATGGTACTAATACAAATACTACTAAATCTAATCCGAAGAGAAGTCAGTTTGTCATTTGGAAAGAAAAATAAAAATAATGAGGCAGCTGACTTTTGCCAATTGAAGAAAGACAGATTCACGGAGTCATGATTTAGTATTTACCAACGTCTGCCTTTTGCCAAATATGGGAAGTTTCACTCGCTTTTTTTTTTTTCTTAAATTAAAAAAGAAGAAGAAGAAGAAGAGAGAAAGTAAAGAATTGGGCATTTGAGGCCACGACACAAGGCAATACTGCTAAACATCGATGATCGACGGGAGGCAGGCTTCCAGAATCCTCTTCCTTTTTCAAAAATAAAAATAAAAAAATTTGGAGTCGAAATATTAAAAAACATAATCACCGTCTTAATAATTAAACGTAAGCAGTGTGATCCATTCCCACTCACTCGCATTTCCATACGGTTTATTATTACTACAACATGTTGGATACATATATGTATTAGTAATTTAATTGCATTCCGCAGCTTCTTAAGTATTATTGACGTTTTCTGCCTTTGACCAACCCAGTGTCATATTATATATATGTCTGACTCTCAATTTTCTACAGGTCGGACAGTCAAACTACCAGGCTGCTAAGACCGCTGTTTCATAGTAATTGTTTATTTTAGCGAGCGAACCACGTTTCCAAACACCAAAAAAAAAAAATTCTCTTTTTCCATTTTATCATTGCTGAAATATGTTCGTTCTCCAATAAAATATTCTTCAACTTGCTTATTAACAAGTAGGAGTAGCATGCCATGCATGCATTAAGTACACAAGTGCTGCTAGCTAATTGTGTTGAACCTTCCACTAAGTAAAAGTTTATAATTAACAAACCCAAAATTTCAGCATTATTTCTATATATTATTCACGTTGCTGCCCTTTTGACAGTATTGAAAGACAAAAAAAAAAAAAAAAAAAAAAAGAATGCACGAGGCATACCAAAAATAATAATAATAATTCTTTTTCTTATTACCTATTAGTTTTTGAGTAAGTGCACTCCGTCTTTCTTCTCCTCTCCTTCATATTAATATTGTTTTTGTCCTAAATCAGTAATGCTTTCAAACTTGTCATTCCTCCTCCACATATACGCATAATAAACCATTAAAGTGCTACTAGCTAGGAAAGTGTACTTTGGTTTGTACGTTCCTTTTCTCGATCAACCGAATCATCAAGAGCTCCGACATTAGCAAGTGGTTTATTACGCAAAGAAGCTGATCAATGTTCCTTAACTACGAGTTATGATCGAGACTGAGGATCAAATTACTGAATAATTAAGCACCAAATTTTGCTCATAAATATAGCATGCATTTAATTAGTGATGAAAATGATATGTCGAATTTGTGGTTTGAAAATGCCGTTGCATTGTTGATGAATAGCAGCATGTCACCATGGAGAACAGTGCATTCCGGATAATGCACGTAAGCCAGCTCCATCACTAGCTTTTCTCTTTTCTCCCATGCCACGTTATGTTATGTTGGAGTTTGAAAAGGTTAACTAGCTACCACCATTGCTACACACACAGCAGTTACGTATATACGAAAAACGCAATTACCATTTTGATGCAAACTTTCTTACATATGGAAGCCTAATTAGCCAAACCCAGATGTACGTTTTAGCAGTATGTTCCATGAAGCTCAAGAAACATAATAGTATTGCTTAACTACAATCTAGGATCACAATTCCCACCAAATCAAAACTTGGAGTTGAAGAATTAGATGGATAAGCATGCAAAGGTGGATCCAAATTGTAGTTTCTCATAGTGGAATAGCACGACGAACTTTCTCGTGTTTCTTACGGGTTGGAAACACACTCTCCCTGAATAGGGAATTAGGGATAATTCCGCAAGAGGTGACGCCGGATGCCTCTTTGTTATCTGTCCCCATTACACTCGTGGCTGAGGGGTTGTGAAAGCTAAAAGAGGCATCACTGGAACTTCGCTTTCGCTATTGATTGCTACGCAAAGGATTAATCAAGAATGAACCCAGAAACAGCACCTGAATGATCAGACTCCTTGAGACGGTGCTAATGAAAGATACAGACAGTACGTACTACTACTCCAAGATAAACCACCTGAAAGCTTATACTAGTACTAGTAACATGACGGCCGGACACTACGATTGTGAAAATTGCAGGCACAATACAAAGAAATCTTCTTCGAAGCGGGTTGATTTTCATTCATTTCGATTCTCTTTTTAAAGAGCACTGAAAGCTATATATATATATATATATATATATATATATATATATGTTTTTCTCAAAAGTTGCATTCTTTTTTTAAAAAAAAAAAAATTTCTTTCAGGTATTCCTTGTAAAAGATTGCATCCACAGAATAATATAATACGTTACTTCAAAAAAATCTATATCACCTATTCGAGAACTCTTTCCAAGAAATGAAACACCACCACCTTTTGGGAGTGGGAATTATTTGGATTTTGTTGAGGAACAAGGGCACGGGGGGAATATGGGACTACCAAATCATTCCAGAATTACTTTTTATGGGATTTGATTGACCGGAATCGACCACTTTTCAGATGCCAGAGTAGTCCTCTACAGGTGGACCAAATTAAATTTCGACCCCACCTTCTCACTATCAGATGCAAAATCAAAGCCACACGTAGCATATTGTTCGATTGTTCATGAGTCCAGGGAACTGTCCCGTCATTGGGAGAGCGACTCTTGAAGTTTTGACTTCTGTATCCGGAAGGAAAATTTTGGAGCAGCTCTGTGTCTGTGGCGTGGAATCATTATTATTATTGATGTGTATTTTTTTTCTGGTGAAGAGTTCTGCATTAACTGCTCTTTTCATGTCACTTCCAACTAATCGGGGAGTGCCATTCTCTTTTTCCCGATTGGTAATTCAATGCCAACTTTCCATAGATTTTGTGCTCTTCTCACAGGCCACAATAGGGCAGCCTAGATTCCACCTAGCATCTGTACAATAATGTAAATAAATACAGGGTTCAACAAGAAAGAGTAACTGAAAACCAACACCATGAACACTTGTT